GTGTTGCCCCCCCCCCCCCCCCCATTTTGACTTGATAAGCAAGTGAAAAATGTTCTTGGGTAACTTGGCTGAAGTCGGTATAAAATTATTACTTAAAAAAACCAAAGCAAAACCTAATAATAATAGAAGAACCATAGAATCAGTCTTGCTGTAGAATACATAGAAGTCTAGCTCAGCAAGTTGTTTCTTTAAATATTCCACTTATTCTTCAGATGACATTCCACAGTAGCACTTAAACCCAAAACATCAGCGGTCAGCCTGTCTGCCGTGTGCAAACAGAGGCGTAATGTATGTAACCAGATCACAAATAGTACTGCACAGCTAAAAGTCTTCTAAATCCAATTAGAACTGTTAAGTAAGGATTGTTTTGTTTCTAATCTATTATCCTTGAATCTCATGGCTTACAAGTTTCTCATTGAACATACAAACCATTAGCTTAAAAGGGTTTGGAATTGCGATAGCTGCAAGCTGGAGGCAAACCCTTTTTAAGTGGTTTTATTACAGCCTATTTGCTTTACCCACAAAAAGGGAGGTGGCTGCTGTAAACACCAGGATAAGTTGGTGTCATGCTGCTATGAAGCATGTGACTGCAGCCTTCCTGGGACTGTCCTATCCTGTTTCAGATCCAGCAGTTCAGTGCTTCCAGCAAATGTTCTCTTCCTTTCGTTCTTAACTTAGAGTTGGGAATCAAACTAAACGAAATACGGCTTCTGAATAGGAAGGAAGTGTCTTGCAAAAAGTAAAGTCCTATCTAAACAAGAAAGTTCAGTCACTGGATTATCTCTTAGGGATTGTGAGATGTTTGCTCTGGACGTTGTGGTGCAATGGTCCTACTGGTTCAGTGCAGCAACATGTGAGACCAGTCCAAGGGGAAGTTCGGCTAGTAGCAGACTGTGCATGTAAATCTTTCCTCCTTGCTGCACCAGCGTGAGCAAGAAGTGATATGCTTTGTCTAAAAGTGTTTTTTTTAAATAAAATTATTTTCTGATCCTTTTATTGCATGAATTGGGAGTAAACGATACTAATAGAAAATGCTTTAGTCCTAAGTTTGTGACCATCTGAACATTGTAATTATTTTCTAATGTTTAGCCTTCATAAAGTGCAAATTAATGTGATTCTAAACCCTGTTGTAATTCATAGCATGTAAATATTTCACATATTTGGAAGTTGGGATACTTTTAGAGTTTTAAATGGATTTCCATACATATATGCGAGTCTGGTAAGTTCTAATACAATATTTTTGTGTTTCTTTTTTGACAAAACACTCAAATTAACTGACATGGTGTTTCCTTTGCTCACTTGACCTGACATTTGTGTTACTGACAGAGAATGCTTTCCTGTTACTCTTCAGAGTTGCAGGAATGTATGACACCAGTAGTATCAGCCCCTTTTTCTTATCTATGGGTGTGTTTGTTGTGTGAGATAGTCAAGAACATCCTTTAGAATAAAATATTGACATTGTAACTGTTTAATATGCATTGTCTCACAATTTAGGGTGGCCTTGCAGAGTACAAAAGAAACTAAACCAGAAAACCTTACCCTGGGAGGAGGCTTAATGCAGTCCAGCTGCTAATAGGCATTCAGTCAGTGGTACCAAATTACAGTGGTCTGACATGAAAGCTGCTGAATCACATACAGTGTAGATGCTGGGATCTTAACAGCAAGTGCTTTGTCCTCAGGTTGATCTGTCTTGAGCTGTGTTACTTGCCAGGATAGGTGCAGCTGCTTAGAAATGCATGTGCATTTAGAAGTAATAAATAAGTAAGTTCAAGATAGTAAGTTCTTGACTGGTATTTTGCTTTAAAGAAAGAAGTTTTTCTAGGAAAGGCACTGTTCACAAGTACTGTAACTGGTGAAAATGCCATTGTGGGAGGTTTGGGTGGATTTTTTGTTTTGTTTTTTCTTTTCAAAAAGTGCTGAAAAGCACAAGCTCTTTTTTCTTCTCAAGATTCCGTGAACTCCTGAATGAACATCACCAGGTGCCCTGAGATGTGGGATTATTTTCCTCTCCTGTTCATAGCCAAGCAGCAGAAGAGAATCACTTTTTATTTACAGATCCTTTGACTTGTTGCAACCTGTGCTAAGTTGGGTTCTTCTGTATATATTTGTATAATATATAGTATATATATACACTAGTATATATAGTATATAGTTTATAGTATATACCAATATAGTTGGGTTCTTGTTCTGTTTTATTCTGTGTTAATCCAGCACCTCTCAGGAACATAGCTGGGTGGAACATTCTCAATTCCTTATGCTGGTAACATGAAAGAGTCACTGAAAAGTTGCCTTTTTCAGTGTTTTATTTAGATATCAATTTATTAATTTAGAGAATATTGCTAGAGAAAATTTACGAGACAGTATCATGCCTTGATGTTTCTATTTGTATCAAAGAAAAAATGTTGCAAAGTTTGAGGCAGCAACTAGATTCACTGTTATACCAGTGAAAAAGTGGGTTTAGATCTTGGTGTAGCTCCAGGAAAACATCTTGTCTCCAAGACAGGTGTGACTTGCTTCTCTCAAATTAAATGAGGCTGAAGCAGGTCAGCTGTCTGACATGTGGCTCAAGTCACACAACCAAGCACAGGACTGTGCTGCAACAGAAGCTGCTGGATAGTCCAAACCCTGTACGTGAACAGCAAAGTCAGCAGGGGTTTGTGATACTGACATTTCTGCTCCCTCAGATGTTGCTGAGTGTCCAGCCTCATCCCAAGGTAAGGCAGAGGTGTTCCTGAGGAATCACTGCCAGTTTGAAATAGTTCTTGCTGGTCGAGTTCCCTGAGCTTTCTGACAGAGAGAGTGTGTGAAGGCTTCCTGATGTAGCTGAAAGGATGACCATGTTTGTTTTCTCCTTCAGGAAATTTGTTCAAGAGCATTTTTGAGCCCTACTGATGCTGGTTCATTTAAAATTTATTTCCTTATTCATGTTCTCTAAGATTTATTTAGAACAAGAGAATGAAAGCATCACTTTGCCCTCGCAATTAGGAATCTCATTTCAGTTTTGCGGCAGTAGGTGATTGATTATATGATGTGAATCGGGTTGATGGTTTCCCATTTCACAGCCTCCTGCAGGCTCATGGTTGATTGGTATACTCCTGGGTGAACTGGGAGGTGGCTCAAGTCCTCTTGATCCAAACAGGTAGCATTTAATTTGCATCTTGTAAAAGCTCTTCTTTGGGTACTTTATTCAGCTGAGGAGATGGTGCTTTTTTGGCAGCTTGATACTGCTGTCTTTATTTTATTTTTTTTTTTAGAAGCATGCACATGTGCACACAAAAGATTGGCTTGAAATGGTTTTGTTGATGAAAGAATATATAAATAATTTATCTTTTTTTCCCCTACACTTGTTTTCCATTTTAATCTGCTGGAATGGAATACTAGCTGCTGTTACAACCCTGCTTTTGATGTGCATGCTTGTAAGACTTAATTGCTCCAATTCAAGCACCAGAAATTGTGCCCATTTAACATTGTGACAAATGTCTGCAGCGTTCCATGCGACAGAGTTGTTTGGAAAAAATGTTTTGCTTTGAAAACAGATCATTACACTCCAGTGAATATGCAATATGCAAACATGTTTTCACTTATGTTGTTTACTATGTTGTCTTTTGATTCATGGCCTGTATGTTGTTGCATGCGTGTTTGGCTCGTGTAGTCTGCTCAGGATGTCTTACAGGAGTAACTTTGAGAAAATCTTTTGTACTGTTCAAACAGTCACTAAAACTACACCAGCTTCTTATGTGCCCCAAAATTGCTAATTCTTTGGATAAAACAAAATAACTCTTAAAGATTTTGCTCTTTTGTAATCTTAACTTTTTGTCATTTTTATTTTGATAGCTGAGAAAGACAGAAAACTCCTGTAAAGCTGTCTGTGAAATTGTAGATACACAATTTAAAAGCAGCATTTTTTAGGAAGCAGAATTTCTTGTCAAAAATGTTTAGCCATCAATGCTCTTACTTACCATCTCAATGCTGGTACAGATTTTTTCCAAAGCAGTGTCTTAGTGTTGTTTTCACTTAAAAATGACAGCAGTTTTTCCTGTCCTTCACTGCAGGTGCTGTTCGTGAAAAGAAGAGAAATCATGGCTTATACAGTGAATGTCCCTTAAACTCCTGGACCAAAACCAGGGGATTTTTCATGAAAGATGGCAACACCATACGTTCCTGTTCCTATTCCTATTGGAAGTTCATCATCCAGCTTTACAAACAGAAACCAAAGAAGTTCTTCCTTTGGGAGCATCTCAACGAGTTCAAGCTCCTCCAAAGGACAGCTGGAGGACTCTACAATTGGTAGTTTTAAAAAGATGAGTGTGCCTGATCAGATTGGTTCTACATCATCTGCATGTAGTAGTCCACTTGTTAGGACTAAATTTACAGGTGTGAATACATCCATAGAATACTGCACTCAACCTGTAGAAGAAATAGAGCAGAATACAGATTCCAGGAACTGGGAAGATCGACCAACTACGCCTACTATACTGGGCTATGAGGTGATGGAGGAAAGGGCAAAATTCACTGTAAGTTTTGGGGCTAGTGTAGTTCATCCTGTAATGACAAGATTTGAATGTACTTTGCATTCTCTTCCAGTAATTAATCCTGCAGTTCAGGGGTGTTGAAGTGCTTTACCAGTTTAGTTTCAAAGTACTGCCTGACAGGATAATACTGTTCCCATTATACAGGTGGGAAAACTGGGTCTCAGAAACAGTCTTTCCTGTAATTGTGTATGTGGAAGAGAAGGAATGCATTCTACTTCAGGTATCCATTTCTGCTGGAAAAGTCAGGAATTCTTTGCAAAGTTAAAATTCCTTGTGAAATTGAACTTGTAGAAGTTCTGGGTAGTTAACCATCTTAATTAAAATGTAGCCTTTTATTTGAAATGAATGATTACAAAGCCCGATACGGTAATTAGAAACTTAGAACATTTCTGTTAAAGTGCAAACATGTAGGTTTCAACTTCTTGCCCTGCTAAGTTTAGTTTCCAGTAAGGGGAAAACTGTTCTGCAACATCAGAGTGAGAAGTCACTTATGCTGTGTCTCATACCAGAACAGCAGCCTGACTGGTTTGCATGGTTTATTTTCTCAGGGTGCACTGCAGCTGGCAATTCTTTTTCAAATGTGCCAGAAATATATCAATGCATTTGTACATGTGTTTCTGTGGATGTTGAAACATTTCTTTGAGCAATGCTTGTGGGACTGATGAAAGTTGTTTGCTACTGATTATTAATTGTATTACCTCAGATGAGCAACATTAATCAGAAATAGGTAAGGAAACAGCAGACAAATGTTTTTTCCCCTCTTGTTTTTGATTAGAGAAGTGTAGAATGTAATGCCTTTATGAAGTTAAAATACTAATGAAATCAAGTTCTCTTTGAAAAAGTTTAAATAGTGCTGCTTTTTAACTATTTCAGGATGTTAGTTTGTCTTTTCCTAAGATTTTCAGTTTCTATCATTTTCATGCATGGTAGCATATGAGAAGAGCAGAATTGTTTCTTATGTGTAGATTAAAAAATGTCTTTGAAATAACAACCTTAAAAACTAAAACAACAATTAATGTTGTTATATTGACAAGGATTAGTCTGAAATTATCACAGAATCATTTAAGTTGGAAAAGATCTCTAATATCGTTGAGTCCAAGCTTTGACCACTCACCACCTTGACATCTAGACTATAGCACTTAATGGCATGTCCAGTTGTTTCTTGAACACTTTCAGGCATAGTGACTCCACCACCTGCGTGGGCAGCCCTTTCAATGTTTAACAACCCTTTCCATGAAGGAAGTCTCCTGATGTCCAGCCTGAAGCTCCCTTGGAACAGCTTGAGGCCATGTCCTATGTCCTGTTGCTAGTTGCCTAGGAGAAGGGGCTGGCCCACATCTGGCTACAACCTCCTTTCAGGTAGTTATAGAGAGCAATAAGGTCTCCCCTGAGCCTCCTTTTCTCCAGGCTAAATTTCCCCAGCTCCCTCAGCTGTTCCTCGTAGGAGTTACCCTGTAGGCCCTTCACTAGCTTCTTTGCCTTTCTCTGGACACAACTCAGCACCTCAGTGTCTTTCTTGAAGACATTGCCAAGGCATATTCAGTGTGTCTGTGTGTGTGTGTGTGTGTGTGTAACATGACCATCAACTGTAGTTGCAATGACATCTTTGACTCCTTATTTTATGTAGAAAGCCAAGGTACGGTATGAAACATTCTTCCATCATTAAAAGGCTTGCTCTGAGTTCACTTCTATTGTTGTGTTTATTTCTGGAAGCACATAATTAACTGTTTTCAGTTGCGTGTTGAAAATAAGCTTGCTATTGTGCGTTAAACCCAGTGAGTAATTAATCCTAGAAATTTTGGTTGCTTCTGCAGTGCTAAATCAATGAGATGGAAGACAGTTGAAATTAAACTGAAATCACCTGTAAGAGAGGAGGCTTAATTGCTGAATTTTTTTACTGTTAGTAGCATCTCATAGTTCCCAGAAATGTGAATCTGAATTACTTATGCTGTCTGATGTCCTAAATTCAAGAGTTAAATGTTGGTGCATGTTGGAGCATATAGCTGCTGAGGTTTATGAGAGCGAAAACCTAGACTGAAAAACATCTCTTTATAAGCTCTTGGTCCCTAGTGAATTAGCAGTTCTGGAATGTTCAATTAGGACTTTTTAAATTTTTCTTTTTTAAGCCAAGTAGCAATGATAATGAGATGCTGAATCAGCTAGAGATTGTTACTATATAGTGGTGTATTTTCACTGAATATTTTGTATTTGTGGAATATGGCAGCTCATGATTGACTGGGATTATTAAGTCAGTCTATTGAATTAATTTGTAGTTTTTTTCCCAAGACCTTGTGTGAAGGAACTGAGAGTTGGTTTTGTACTACACTAGTTCTTGTTTAATAATTACAAATCTTAAAATAAATAAAACACCCAGCCACCATTTTTCAACTTTGTCAGGGAAAGCAATCTTGTTTGGTTTGGGCTGACCATGCTTTTGGGGGCCAGTGATCACAAACTAATTCCACTCTTATTGCAGTAAAGTTGAAGACTTGGTGAAGACTCTTTTCCTAAGTTGTCTAAGGTGTTTACTTGGAAACTATTCGAAATGAGGATCAGACTAACTGAATTTTTTTCTTGTGTGCATTTTTAAACAATGCCTTTGGAGAACTTTTTATTGAATAAAAGAATATAATAGAATACTGGTTAGCAAGTAAATCCTCAAGCATATTCTAAAGTTTCCTGTACTGTGTTTTACTGTGCACTAGCAAAGAGTCTTCACAATTTTTTATTTATTTATTCATGAAAATGAAATGGTTTATACTTTTAGTATGACAAAAAAGCTGAAATACTGGGACAAGTGTTTATACATAAAATGTATCATTTTATACAGAAGAGTTACATTTTAATGCTGGCTTCACAGGCATGTCTTGCAGCTCAGATTTTAAAAGCTAATAGCTTTCTTCTGTCGCAGTCCATGACTTCCGCAGATGATGTTTCTTGAAAGTGAAATTCTGTGTTTAAAACATAGATAAGTACTTGCTGAAAAAATGCCTTTAATTTGTGCCATAGTTATCTGTAGTTTATGTAACTATCTGCAACTTAATATGTTCTAGAATACAAAAAAGCTGAAAGCAAAGCTAAAAGCAGTCTTACATGTGTACAGAAGTTGGCTGGTGTTGGGGTTATCACATGTTGGGACTGCAACAAGAAAAATACATATATCAGCTAAGGCAACCTGCTGTGAAAGCATGAAATGATGGAAAAGATTTTACTATCTTAACAGATTAAAAAGTGTTTTAAATAGAATTTGGTTAAATGCCTGTAAGGGAATGCTTATCATTCTGATTCCAAAAATAGCTTTTTCTTGTATTTTTTTTAAACTAGAGATGCATAGACAGGAAAAGCTAACCCAGGACAATTGCAGAACCTCTCTTTCCTTACATTGCAGAAAGGAAGGTTGTGACATGAGGACATGTCTTCCCTAGACACTGTTTAATGTTGTCTAGTTGGAATCGTGTCTTGTTAGATTCGTTGTGTTCAGACATTTGAGTATCAATCCTCCTGCAAAGTAATTGTTTTATTTTTTAATTTTTTAGTTATTATTTTGTTATTTATTTATCCATTTTCTTTTAAATAGTACTGTGGTACTGCTGTGCTGTTGTCTTGCTAAATCTGATTCAAAGGATCCATTAATTCAGTTATACAGTGCTAGTATAATCAGTCTGAGGCTAGATAACTAGCAAAGTCATATTTTGCCTGGAAAGACAAAACCTAATGTTCAAGACAAATGCAACCAAAGGAGGATGTAATTTTATTCTGCATCACTTTTCCCTGTGAAGCAAGTCAGATGAGACATTTAAAAGCAATATAACACTCAGTACCTGATTATTAAGTCATCTTAAAAACAGATTAACCTTTGCTAAATTGTAGTTTTATTCATTAATCCTTGAGGCCAAAGTAGATGGCTGAAATATATTTTCCTCACCTCTCTGGTAGTCGACACTTGTGTCGTGCCATTCCAGCCAATACAGCATGAAGTTCCACACGTTCTTCTGTTATTCCTGTCTTTCCACACAGGTATACAAAATACTGGTAAAAAGAAGTCCAGAGGAAAGTTGGGTGGTTTTCAGACGGTACACTGACTTCTCCAGGCTTAATGACAAGGTGAGAATTATACACTGCAAGTTCTCAGCTAACTTCCTTCATTCTTTCCATGTCTAATTTTCTTCGTGTCTCACGTTTTTGTCACTTCTTTTATTGTCTTGGGGTTTTTACTGCGTATGAAACACATACTATATTAATGACTGGAATGACACGATTCCTCATTTTTTCAAAGATACATGAAATAACTACAACTGATGTAAAGAAGGCGTAAGAGCTTCATCTGAAGCTGTTAGTGTGCTTCAAGCTTTTTATTTATTCCTAGTCTATGTGGTAAAGGAAATTAATTCTTTAAGAGGAATCTCTTACATGGAAATAGAGCTAGGGACTTGTATTCTCTTGCAGGAATGATCCAGTAATTATTCAGTCCTTTTCCATGTAACAAACTAGGGTTTATTCATTATAAAACTGGAGTTTTGTGAACATGAAATTCTTTGCATGTTGGTCAGTCTTCAGTTGTTTTCAATGTCTTCAAAGTTAATTATGAAATATTATATTAGGTCTTTGAAGCCAAAGGCAGAGACACCAGATAAACAGGAATTCTGGGTCAGCACTTTGATACTTTTAGAACACTTGAAAGCAAAAAATGCTTGTCCAAAAAGCACAGGTTTTTATTATTTGTAAATAGTGCTTGGCTATTCCATTTGGCATTACTTCTGTAGAAGTTTAAACATGGGAAAACAGAATTGCACTTTTCTTTGTCCACTGTTCACTCCCAAGAATAATCTTTCATTTCCAGTTTAACACATTTTCTGCTATTATGTTCTTTCATGCTTCAGCTTGTAACTTTATAACACACTTTTTTCCCCCATAGTGAGGGATTTTTTTTTAATATCTTGTCTCCTTGGATTAATGTGTCTAATCAACTAAGAACTTTATTCAACTGAAATTTTGAACATGAACTTGAACTCATAACATTTCTTTGGGTTCTTGGTAGTTCTAGACTACCTTTAAAACATCAGTGCAGCCTAAATCTAAATTGTTGAATGTGAATTAAGAGATTTCTTTCTGAAGAAATTTGTCTTTTAATTCAGTCTGTCCTAAATTAAAGAATGTCTTGGTATTAGCAAAACCCTGACTTCTCTGAGATGATGATCTTGGTATTTCAACTCAAATTTTGAAAGTCAACTCATGCAGCAGTTTCTAATTTGATTGGCTGTGTTAGGGATAGATCAAGAATTGGCTTACCTGCCTTGACTTCTAGTGTGGTTACCAGTGGTTCAGAAAATTGAAATGCCACAGGTATTGCTTTTGGAATAGATACTTGGATTTTACAAATGAAGTCCTTAGTCTTTGCCATCAAATCTTTGAGGAAAATATTTGAATTCTAACATGATTTCTAGGTGTTAGGATTTCTGTTTAAAAGCAAATTTATTTTTTTCCCCTTGTGTCACTGTCTGAAGCTTTTTCATCCTTCAGTATGCATCTGAAATTTTATTATGTTGCTATTCTGTAGTTCTCTAGAATTTCTGGAATTATGATATGTTTCAATTCCTGGAGCTGGCATTTCTGTATTATAAAAGGCATTATGTGTTGCAGGCCAAAAGGTAAATGGTTATATGCAAGCATCAGTTATTCAAAAGGCACAGTGCAACACTTGTGATTCTTCGTTCTCTACTAGCAAATATAGATGTGCAGTTGCATGCATGTAAATGTAATTTCAAGATTTTCTGTACCCTTTTTCCTAGAAATCCATTAGAAGCAAGAGAAGTATGCTATCTTATAAGTCCTCTTTTTTACCATCCTTCTTGAGATTGGTGGCAAATTATTAATGAAATGGTACTAGAAACTTGGCATTAAATACCAGCTGAACTGAGTAATCAGTCACTGTGATCACTGTGTGAATCGGTTTGAAGTATTGTCAGAGAAGGAATGGCTTCTCAGGAGTACCAGATAAAAACAAAGAGCAGAATGTTTTGTGTGTGTCAGGCATATACTTATGCATGAGTCCAAACTGAACTGAGAGTTCAGACTTTGGCAGAGGCTAAAAATGGAGAAAATGTGAGAGTAGGAACAGTGTCACAATGGGAACGTGTAGATATGATCAGGATTAGATGAACGAATACAGATCAGCGAACTAAGAGAAGCAGCTATTGAAGTTAGTAATAGCATTCTTTATTTGCCTTGATCTCTTAAAGAAAACAAAGGTGGCAAAGTAGCCATAGGATGCTGAAAAGTGTTTTGTACTTCCACTAGTTTCTGAAATATTTTTAGTAAGGAGCAGCTAATAAAATAGAAATGAATGGAGGTAAAAGAGCTCAAAACCATGTACTCCCCTTTTATGAATGAAATGAGTAAGTGCAGGAGCAGGTCAAGGCTTTAAGATATTTCAAGCATGAGCAACAAATTCTTTGAATGTCAAAGCTATCTACTTTCCAGCCAGTGGGAAGGTTATGAAAGCTCCATAACTGAAAGAAAACAAATAGAAGATGATGGCAAAGTAATTCAATGTAAAGGAAAGATGAGATATTGCCACTATGGGTATGCAAGAAGCCACATAATGATCTCAAAGTCAAAAGTAGTTAAAAAAATACAGAGAGATATCAGGACAAGGAGAGTAGCCATGGGATGCCAAGAGCAATGGGTAAAGTTCTATAAATAATTAGACACAGAACTAAGGGAAGAAGGCAGTCAAACAAGAGATCCATTACTTGACAGCAAACTGTGGGAAACAATTAGCAAATAGTACAGCAAAGACTGAAATACTGTCTTTTGCTGTAATAATATTAACAAAAATGTAATCTTAGTGGATATTGGAACATGCTAGAATTTGAGAGGTTAGGAGCAAATACTGAAATGCTGTTGTTTGGCTAGGTGCTTAGGCTTCAATAGCACCTGCTGGCCTGTAGAAGTATGAGAAGTACTTCAGTCCCAAAAAATGGTGGCAAAAGAACTTTCTAAAGTTTGTTACCATGGTGGTAGAGATGTGGAACAAATAATGAAATGGCCAGTCTTAAGAACGAACAAGTTAACCATTTCTCTCCAAGACTGTGCCTCATGTGACATGCATAATCTGTCACATGATGATGTAGGAGAGAGACATGTAGAAAAGGTGCTGGATCCAAACAAACAATCACTGCCAGAATAACTTGTCTGACCCACAGTTTTTCCTGCTGTGTCTGAGGAGTGCCCCAGGACTGTGCTGTTGAAATTAGTCTGCTCACAGCAGCTGGCTTTCTCATACTCTTCATCCACAAAAGGAGTAATCTGTGGGTAGGAGTTTGCTTTCCTTAGAAATAAATTACATGATCTACATAACCAGGCAAGTGAAATTACCATTAAGCAGAAGTCTGTGTGGTTGCAAAGCTTTCCCAGTAATGGTTATCTGTGTTTTTCTGTACAGCTAACACAGGAACTCAATTGGTTATATTCTCTGGGTTCAGCTCTATTCAACTTATAAAGCATTCAGGATACTTTTATATGTTATTATGACTTGGTAAGCAATGAAGGAACTTTGGATGACCAAAGATAAAAATATCAAGAAGAGTCTAATATCAAGATAAAATTCAGTAAGAGGAAAACATATGCTTAAATAATTAAATGCAGAAATAAAGAGCAAGGCTTTGACAGTAAACCATTCTATAAGCAAGAAACTAGTAGTTATCATGAGTTGTTTGAACATGCAGTACTTGTGATGTTTATAAAGCACCCTTCTCATGCTGTGACATGGTACTTATATGAGCAAAGGTAATCCATTAATGTTGTTCTTCCTTTAAACTGTGTAGAGACATTCTGTCTGAAATGCACTATTTGTTCTTTTTAAAAACGTAGTCTGTTGAAAGAGCTACCTGTTCACATTTTCCATGAGTCCATAAAAACTAGTTAAATAAATAACACTTTTTATCAGAAGGGTTAAATTTTGCTGTGCAAAGATCAGGGCACCCACTGAAAAATTACCTTGGCGGCTATGTAAACACTGAGTGCTAAACTATTTACAAGGCAGATTTTGGAATCCCTGTCACTGGAACATTCATATGAATATAATAGGTATACACAGTACATCTCTGACAGAAGTTGGCTGTATTCAAGAAAAATCACAATTCTTGTGGCAATTGGGATATCAGATTTTGTAAAACATCTTTGCTTTTCTCTGTTGGTTGGAAATCCTCTTCATGATTTTTCTATGTCAAGCATCCCTTCTGATAAAAGGCTTCAAGAAATAGTTTTTATGAATGTCACGCATATTAGAAAAATAATTGGCATCCTTGGACAGGTCTGTTGTTATCTAATTTTATACTTGCATGTTTCATTTCTGAAGTAAAAAAAAATTCTAGATATTTCTTATGTTGACTATACCCCAGTGCTGTTTGAGTAACTCAAAAATACAATTTTGCATGTTACTACTAGGGTTTGAGCCATACATGCATATTGAAATTCTAATATTCTGGGTGTAGCAGGAGCTGTTCTTTACTAGAAATATCTCAGGTGTGTGTTGTAATTTATTCTGCTAGCCACC